TGTATAAGTATTGAATTGACGATTTGTTTTCCACCCAAATCATCTACTATATCAAACTTTCACAATAAAAAAGAATAATTGCATTAAATTAATTCTGTCAATAAAAATATTAAAAAATTAAATTACTAATCAAGCAAATATGTACCATTTCAATTTAATCTAGGTTGCAAGAGAGAGATACATAATTATGCTATATGAACTTTTTTTATTTAGAGAGAGGCAGAGGAGTGTAGACAATAGATTTTTAGGCTTTAATTGTGGAAAATTAATTTTTGCCTTTTTTAGAACTTTCAAGCCTTCTAATCATTAGAAAAAGTGAGAGAGAGATGTGAATTGAGCCTTTGTTTTAATCTAGGCCTTGTAAGAATTTCCATTAGATTGGGTCTTTTAAACCAAAATTTTTTGAGCCAATTTAATGTATATGTAAAGACTATGCTTATTATTTGGGGGCCTTCTTTTTTTTGGGGGCCATAAGCAGCTGCTCAAGTGGCCTTTCTATTGGGTCGACCTTGGCTTGAGGGAGAAGTGAATATAAGGTATGTTTGGATTACGGGTTAAAGGGGGGTGATAGAATAAAAAAGTAGATGGGGCCCATATATTTCGCGTTTGGTTAGTAAAAAAAGCATCGGAAATGCCACTCGAATTTTTATTCTGACCTGATTTGAAAAGTCAACTTTTACCTATCTACATGGTTTAAATAAAACCCAAGGGGAAACTAAGATATTTTTTTAGCAATTAGGATAATTAATTTAAATTCCTAAATTACCCTATTGTGCTACCCCTTCTAGGTTAGATCACTTCTCCATTCTATCGTTGCTTCCTCTTTTTTCCTTCATCACTTAACCGCTTTTGCTTCTCGTTAGGTAAGTTCCTTTCTCTCTCCATTGACACCAAACTTGTGTGATCAAAACATACCCAAGCTTGCAACTTTTGTTTTTTTTCCAACACGACCTATGTATTCTATTGATGCCAAAAAAAAAAATTCCAGCTAATATATATATTTTTTCCATTTATGCCAATTTTTTTTTTTGCCTACATCTCAGTAGTTAAATGACGTTGCTTCTTAATTTTTTTTGTATAAATGTATTGTACTTGGTTAATTTTGTAAACATTTTATATTGTTAACTTAAATGGTTGATGAGGTGTATTTTTTATGGTTACAATAAATTTTAAAATATTTATTTTATATTTGAATGAGTCGTTAAAAAAATAGATGTGAAAGTGTTTTTTTGTTTGGAATGGCTTGGAGACTAAATTAAAAAATCAAACATGGTGTTGGATTGAATAGAATAGGGGTACAATAGTCGATGAAAACAAATTGCATCTCTCTTATCAATAGGCCCCACAAAAATGTATAATTTATCCAAACAGATGAGAGGACTGGATATACCTATTTATATCCTATCCAAATGACAACTAGGTGGGTTTGAATTATATATGAAAGGATATCTTTTTAGATATTCAATCCACTCCAACCTTGCGATCCAAACATACCCATAGTTAGATCTCTCATAGGGCAATGAATGTGCTCACCATTTATACACGGGTAATTATTGTCTTTATAACAAAAATATCATAGAATATTTGAAGAATATTTGACAGTTAGAAGACCTATTGGCCAAGGTATAACATGAACTTCTAGAAATGATGATCACTTGCCCGAAATAGGGTTTTTAGGTGATAGTTCACTCTTGTCCTTTCTATTAGTTTTCTCGATAGTCAACTTTTAGAATCCCATTGCTAGTTTGGGCATTAGCCCGACACATGTTGATCCGTTTGACTTGGCCACTCTTTGAACTGCAAACCTGACCTGTTCATCATTTAAATTGGTGTTTTCTTCTGGTATCATTAGATACAATATCCATAGGGGTCGTTTAGTTGCAGTATTAAGGGTGTATTAAGGAGTCATAACAACTTAAAATTTTATAATCCAACCTTATATTATGTTTGGTTGTTAAATATACTCTGTATTATATCTAATTTTATTTTGTATACATGTAAATTACATATATGAATAATATCTTCTACTCGTACTATTAAGCCCATTTTAATACCACCTGAAGGGTGGTATTATAATACTGTAAAACCGTATTAAGTTATATTTTACTATTTTGCCCATCAACTAAACAAAAGAATGCATAACTAGATTCGATTGATAGTTTTTAGGTCAATATGTGATTAGTACTCTATTATCCCACTTTTATTCAATGTCTTACCAAACATTGAAGTATAATGAGTATTATTTTTATCCTATATTTAATCTTTGTGTTTTAGTAGCTTATACAGAATTAGTCTATATTAGCTAATACAATCATTTCTCTTATTATACGGCAAGCAAATGTGCCCATGAAGTGTTGATTTTTATTTTTGATTGCTCAAATGAATGTGGAAATAGTGTAATTGGTATAAAGAATCGCTCCACCACGGTCAAAGCTTTTGATGCTCTTTGATAACGCTGCCAACCTCACTATCTTCATGAAATTTGTTGGGCGTACCCTGTCTGCACCATTGTTTTCATTTCTGATCAAAGCTTTTATTACATGATGGCCCTATATGACATGGACAAGTCCTTTCTGGGATAGGGGAGGGAGGTCATTTTCATGTAATCAAGCCAGACTTTAGGGAATTTAGTGAAAGTCTAGTAAGGAATGAGATGTCCGATATGAGGATGATTACCTTTGTTCATCTGTTTTCAAAGGACATTTACACTTCTCTAGTGCTCTTGCTAATGAAAATTTCTGTTATTTCCCATCAAATCTGTAGATATTATCATTGATTACCCTTTTGTCAACTGATCATCAATTTAGCTAGCACAGACATCAGTACCTTCACATCAGCCTCATGATTTCAGAATCATTTGTAAATCACATCGGAGATGTAGGTAGAAGTGACTGCTCAAAGTTTGAGAAGTTTACTGCAAAGATTTCACTTAATAAAGGTTAATTGTTGCTATACATGATGAGCACTAGATGGGGAAGTGGATTTTCCAAGAAGATGCAAGGATGGTTGTTGTTTCATATTATTGTTCAATTTTAGTAATTTTTGATTTGAAGTATTAGTGTTGTTTGTCAATATTATTTTCATGTTAGTGTTTCATATTATTGTTCAATGTTATTGACTTGTGTTAATATTCAATGTTACTATTTTTATTTTGAATGTTAATATTGAATGTTACTATTTTTTAATTAATTTTACAAAATATTAATATTCAATGTTACTATTTTTTATTTTGGATGTTACTATATTATAATATATATGAGAGAAATAGTCCTAATCTAGAAAAGATCTAAAATTATGAGAATTTGAATTTGAATTAGTTTAAATTTGGTTACGTTTGTATATATATGNTTATTATACGGCAAGCAAATGTGCCCATGAAGTGTTGATTTTTATTTTTGATTGCTCAAATGAATGTGGAAATAGTGTAATTGGTATAAAGAATCGCTCCACCACGGTCAAAGCTTTTGATGCTCTTTGATAACGCTGCCAACCTCACTATCTTCATGAAATTTGTTGGGCGTACCCTGTCTGCACCATTGTTTTCATTTCTGATCAAAGCTTTTATTACATGATGGCCCTATATGACATGGACAAGTCCTTTCTGGGATAGGGGAGGGAGGTCATTTTCATGTAATCAAGCCAGACTTTAGGGAATTTAGTGAAAGTCTAGTAAGGAATGAGATGTCCGATATGAGGATGATTACCTTTGTTCATCTGTTTTCAAAGGACATTTACACTTCTCTAGTGCTCTTGCTAATGAAAATTTCTGTTATTTCCCATCAAATCTGTAGATATTATCATTGATTACCCTTTTGTCAACTGATCATCAATTTAGCTAGCACAGACATCAGTACCTTCACATCAGCCTCATGATTTCAGAATCATTTGTAAATCACATCGGAGATGTAGGTAGAAGTGACTGCTCAAAGTTTGAGAAGTTTACTGCAAAGATTTCACTTAATAAAGGTTAATTGTTGCTATACATGATGAGCACTAGATGGGGAAGTGGATTTTCCAAGAAGATGCAAGGATGGTTGTTGTTTCATATTATTGTTCAATTTTAGTAATTTTTGATTTGAAGTATTAGTGTTGTTTGTCAATATTATTTTCATGTTAGTGTTTCATATTATTGTTCAATGTTATTGACTTGTGTTAATATTCAATGTTACTATTTTTATTTTGAATGTTAATATTGAATGTTACTATTTTTTAATTAATTTTACAAAATATTAATATTCAATGTTACTATTTTTTATTTTGGATGTTACTATATTATAATATATATGAGAGAAATAGTCCTAATCTAGAAAAGATCTAAAATTATGAGAATTTGAATTTGAATTAGTTTAAATTTGGTTACGTTTGTATATATATGTATATAGAATTATAGATAGATATTAGAGAGAGAGAGAGAGAGAGAGAGAGAGAGAGATTGAAAAAAACTCTAAAATTTATGAGTTTTTGATTTTCAAATCTGTTTTGATTAGATGTAAATGCTGGGATTATTTTGAACAATAGAGATTGAAATGGACTTAAACTAAACAAAGTTTTTGAGTAAACTTTTTGTCAAATAAGTTTTAAAAAGTGGACCGACCCCCAAATTTCCCAAAAATCGGATTTTGTGAAAAAATAAAAAATATCAAAAAATCAGGTCTTATTGTATTATGCCTTTGGATTATTTATTTCAAGCTTCCATTAAGTGGATTATTTAAGATTTAACTCTGTCATAAGAAATATTAAGTAGATTAGCAATACTATTATTTGAAAAAGATATGACAAAGAAACTTAATTAGTGCTTTTGCATCTCAAAAAGCGAGAAGAATAAATTTTAAATAAATTATTATTATTAAAAATAAAGACCTTTTTATTAATTGTCGCTTTAGGCCCCAAAATGTCACAGGATGCCCCTGCACCAATTCGACCCGACACAAAATCGATCGTGTCGAGTTATTAGAATTTTAAAAAAAAAATTATATTTTATAATACCTTTTAATTTCTTTTACATAGTATTATATAAGTTGTTTTAGAATTAAATAATTTTTTATTGACACTAATACGACATGAATGAAAATGACACAACTCTCAAGTCTCAATGACACGACACAGCAACATGAATTGACACACCTACTTTCTACACTATTTTCTCTTCTTACCCAGTTTATGAAACTTTACATTCGATTTTGTTGGAATGCTACGTTAAAATCTTCAATGTATCTAATTATTGCGGTCTGAGTTCTTGCATCAGCAATGGCCCAGAGTACATTGGAACTAGGTCAAGGTCAGGAGATACTTAAGCTGTTAGGAGATAATGATCCAGGATCAACCGTTGTTCTTGTTGGAGAACCTGGAATTGGAAAAACATGGCTTGCAAAAAAGGTGTGTGGTCAAGCCATCAGCAATGGCACATTTGGCATAGTCCTTTGGGCTTATCTGGACAAAGAGTATAACGAGCTAGCTATTGGCAAGAGTTTTGTTCGTCAAATGTCTCTGCTTTCCACTACAAAGGGGTGGGAAAAAGAAGATAACGAGGAGGTAGAAGAGAAAAAAGAGGAAATCTTGGATGACTTGATGCAGAAAATATCTGACAATGTGGAAGGGAAGTTGCTTCTAGTTTTGGATAATGAGGGCAGCAAAATGAATGCAGAAGACTTTATGAAATTGCTGAATAGCATGAAATTTTCGCCAAAACCAAGCAAGGTGTTAATCATTTCGTGTGATGCAGATGGAAAACACGAGAATTCTGATTCTTTCCGTACAAAGAAAGTAATCAAGATCCAGCCCTTGTCTCCTGAAAAGTTATTATCTATATTCCGACAAACAGCTAGGACAGAAGTTTTGGAGCCACGTGTGGAACAGTTAGCTGACGGTTTCATCAAGAACAAAGTGGGTTTAACACGTGCCAAAATTGTCTTGCTAGCAAAAGCCTTAAGCAATGGAGGAATTTCTGCAGTGCGACTTCTGGAACGTGCTTTGGAGGAATCATCTGGCGATGGGAGCTGCAGTTATACAGAATTACTACACCGTGGTTATGACAGGGTGCCTGATGGTGTTTTATTGGACTGGTCCTGGCAGGGCAGCCATTTTTTTCAAGATCGTGAAAGCATTCATTTCGGTGAGTTCATAGCTTGCTGGATAATGGAAGGATATCTTGGTCATATTGATAGTATTGAGAAGGCTTATGAGGAGGGACATCGTGTTCTGATGGAGCTTATAGATTGTCAGATGCTAAAAAAAGTTGATGATGAAAACATCAAGGGGGATTACTTAAGAATGGCAGGAGCAGTAGTGGATCTGGACAGGCGCCATTGTTCTGGATTTGGTAAAACAGCCAGTCTGGGATTGGCTAATGTCTTCGAGAAGGGCCAGTGGGATGGTATTGGTGAAATCGTGCAGGCTGATGGCATGTTGAAATCAGTTTCCAGTGGCAAGAAGGAGAAGAAATGCTCAACGTTACTGCTCGACGGAAACTGTCTGAGCCTGGAAGTCTCAACTAAAATCCTTCAATCCGAAGAGGACCTTCGAGTTCTCGCCCTTTTCAATCCCAGGCTCATCACAGTCCCATTGTTGTCTTCCATGGAATCGCTTAATGTGCTTGTGCTCAGGGGATGCAATTTGTTGGAGGACATCAGACAGATCCAGAATCTTAAAAATTTATCTGTTCTGGAAATTTCAGGAGCTAGGTCATTGAAAAATATCCCGGATAACATCTTTCACCAAATGACCTCCCTTCGAAGTCTTAACCTATCTGGCCTTCAGATAGAAGCGTTACCTAAATCTTTTGGTGTGCTTACAAAACTTCACTGGCTCATCCTTAAGGGCTGTTCTTGTTTGAAACAAATGCAGAGTCTGAAAAATTTTGAAAAACTTGTGGTCCTTGATCTTTCTGGTGCTACTTCTTTGGAAAAGTTTCCAGAAAAAAACATAAAAGCAATGAAGAATCTTATAAACCTTGATCTTTCCAATACCAACATTAAAAGCATACCAATTCTTCGTGATATTGGAGCTCTCACTCATCTCTTTGTAAGGGACTGTCAAGGCGTAGAAAGACTGCGCAGCATTAAGTCATTATCCAAACTCCAAGTTCTTGATCTTTCAGGTTCTAGCATTAATGAATTTCGTGACCAGTCATTAGAACCTAATGTTGACCTTAGTACTCTAGATCTATCCAGAACGGATTTATCTTGGCTACCTTCCAACATTAGCAATCCTCTTCAGCTTTATTTGAAAGGTTGCCTCCAGCTAAAAGAACTTCCGTACATAGAATCACTGAAAGCCCTGGAGGCACTTGATCTTTCAGGTGCCAGGAATCTTGAAAAGATTGATGACAATTTCTTCAAAAATTTGAATAACCTTCAAGTTCTCAACCTTTCAGAAACCAAAGTCAAAGTTCTGCCACCCCTTTTCACTCTTTGTAACCTTCGTCAGCTATTGCTTTCGGGTTGTTTGTCCTTGGAGAACTTGCCAACCTTGAATTCCCTTAGCAAACTGGAGGTTATTGATCTGTCTGGTTGTGGTGCTTTGACAGTCATAGAAGATGAATCTTTTGAGCAGATGTCTTGCCTTCAGAGCTTCTCCCTCTCTGATGCAAAGATTGAAAGACTTCCATCCCTTTCAAACCTTAACAACCTCCGCTACCTCTCATTGAGAAAATGTACTAACTTGAAATTAGTGGTTGAACCACTGACCACTCTCTTAAGTCTTGAGGAGCTACATTTATGTTGTATCAGTTCCTTGACTCAAGCTGATTTCTTGGAGCAAATGAGTCACCTTCATATTCTTGACCTCTCTGAAACCCAGCTTGAAAAGCTATCATCCATGTCAAATCTAAAAAACCTTGTTCATCTTTCTCTGAGGGGTTGTAAGCAGTTGCGCACAGTGCAACACTTGGAAGCACTTACAAAGCTTGAGATTCTGGATCTTTCGGGAACTGCAGTCATGCATCTGCCATCCCTTACCAATCTTAGCAACCTCCACCAATTTCTGCCTAGTAATTGTTTGAGCTCAGAAGAGCTTAAAAATCTTGAGATGCTTGATCTGTCTGGAGATGTTATCAAAGAAGAATCAACTGACCTTGAGAACCTTGATCTGCCAAACATGAGCATTACAGGAGCTGGCAGTGGAAAGATACAGAGCTTACCTGAAGAGCAATGGGGCATCTCCACTTTGCCTGGACCAAAATCAGGCAGTAACAGGCCTTTCATCTCTGTAAGTAGTTCAGAATTTCGTCAACTTCTTGAGAAAGATCCCCAGTTGTGGGAGACAACCTTCGAACAATTTCAATTCTCTGTTCATCCTATTGAGGAGCAAAATGAAGTAAGAGGTATAGACATTTACAAAGACAAATCGATTCTCAGAGATACCCACTTCAAGGCCAGACATTTCTCTCATCTTAGAGAGCAAGGTGGTTCACTGGAAATCCATGGTTTTCATAATTTCCCCAAGGGTATTGAGGTTGTACTCAGTCGTTCTGAGTATGTTTTTCTGTTTAACAATTCCTTTATAAAATCGTTATGTGACTTGGGTGCCAATAACATCAAGGTGATGAGGGGCTGTTGGATAGAGAGATGCGCCAATATGGAGAGTATTTTCCATGTAGAAAAGGAAGAAGATACTGCTAAAATAGACAAAACATTGGAGATTCTATGGGTTTCTGGTGCTATCAAGTTGAAAAGAATGCATAGCGGGGACCTGCAGTATGAGGGCTTCCGAAACCTTAAATATCTGTACTTGGATTGTTGCCGAGAACTTGCAAGTGTTTTCTCATCATCTCAGCAGCCCAAAAACCTTGAAGTTCTTCATATCAAGTTTTGTGATAAAATTGAGAATCTGTTTGAAGAGATGTCAGGAGAGGCTATACTGCCAAATTTACGTGCATTGCATCTGTGGGGACTGCCAGCATTGAAGAACGTTGGGAGCGTATTGCCAGCCTTACTAAGTTTGGAAGTTGGGGAGTGCCCCATGATTGTAAATTATCTTTTGCCACAGCTGCCAACCACTCTTGAGACGCTGAAAATCAAATTCTGTGATAAGTTGGAGACTTTGTTTGGACAGAAAACATCAGCTGATGCTATTCTGCCCAAATTACACACGTTGCATCTGTGGGGGCTACCAGAGCTAACAAGCATTCAGGCTAAACTGCCACCTCTACAACATCCCCCCATTGTCAGGCAATGCCCAAAGCTACAGCCAGTGTAAGGGAAGCTTTTCTGTTTTAAAACAAAGTTTATTTATTACCCTAGAATAAGGAAATAAGAAAAAGAACATAAAACAGAAGGAATCCTTGAGATGCTGAACAATTTTCACCTTCTGAATTCCAATTTTACAGGTTTTGTCACAATTCAGCTAATTTGATCTATGTTTAATTTTTAGAGTTCTGCTTCCAGTTCCAGCTTTTTTGGGTCTAGTTTAGGTTTTTGGTTGATTTTTTCACTGTGATTTTAGTTCAAACAATGACCATCTAGGGAACAGTTTGTCACCAATTGAGAAATATCACAAGACATTCTTTTTATGTTGGCTAATTAAGGCTAATGAGAGCCGTTCTATTTAGCAATGACTATACATGGTTGCTTGTACAGACAGCACAAAACCTAATAACAGGTATTACTATTGATGCAGGTTTGCCTCATAATAAGGAACTATGGTTCTTGGCACCTGACCAAAGCCACTGATTTCACAGGCTATCCGCATGTATGAGAATATATTGGGCCAGGACTCTCCTTGATTTGGATTCTTGACCATAGTTGACTATCATCTTTTCCAAGCTTCACTAGTAAGTATACCTAGACGTTTGATATCTGTGTATTAGTTATTGCTTGTGCCTGAAGGCACAGAGTAATAAAAAATGATAAACAATAAACATATTTGTATTCATATCCAAAATCAAATCACAAAAATAAAGGCGAAATAAATGAATTTAAGCATTGGTTGGAGTGGGAGTGAGAGGCGGTGGGTGGCAATGGTGGTGGTAGGAGACGATGGAAGTTGTGGTGGGTGGCAATGATCGTGGTGGCTGCGGCGATGGCGACAGCGGTGGAGGCGGAGGCGGTGGCGGTGGCGATGTCGGCGATGGCAGTGGTAGTGGTAGTGGTGGTGGCGGTAGAGGTAGTGGTGGGGTGGTTTCAAACACTATTTTTTTAAAAGTATTTATGAGAAATAATTCTTAAAAGTATTTTTAAAAAGTCACTGCAAACACTCCCTTAAGGTCATATTTTTCCTATTAAATTTAGGGTGTTGATATTAATCGTTAGATTAACTTTAAAGTAAAATTTAAAGCGATTTAAATCGTGAAAAATAAAAATTATTTTGTTTATTTTTTAAATTTAAATTGTAAGCTACTTTATTATATAGATATGGACATTTGTGTGCTTGAGATTCATATTTTATGTATGTCTGTAATAACAAATCTTTTACCTCAGTTCTCAGCCATTTAGTCTTTTTTTGCCTGGTTTTATCCCGATCCAATCAATCCACAACAAAGTGCAAATCTGAATTATATTGATGTCTACAAAATTCACGAAAAAACTGAAAACATCTATCTATATCATTGTTTTTGTGTGCATAAGTTCCTTGGAATGTAATTACATACTTCCAACACAAAATTTGGATACCCAAAAACATAGTTAATGGTTTTCATGCATTGGATTTTTTCCCTTTTGCATAGAGATGAGGTATGCGATTTCCTTTTTTGCATGTCATTGTTTGATTTTACTGGGAGTTGCTTGGTTCAATGACCTCAGATTAGATAATTTTAGATGAGAATGCACAAGAAAAAAAAAAGAACATTTCTCAATCGTCCATTTGTTAGAGCATCTCCAACATCTTCTACTTTAACTCTAATTTAGACTCAAATTTAAATTTGAGTCTAAATAGTCTAAAAACCTTCTCCAACCTTGGATTCAGACCCATACCAAATTAAGAAAAAACTTCTTTTGGACCCAAATTGAAGGGTTCTTCGACGACTTGTTCTCTATCTCTTCTGACCTCTCTCTTTTATGCTGCTTCCATTTCTGACTACCATCGAATTATTCACAGATCATTTAAAGACCTATTGATAAGTTTTTTCCTTTTCATTTTCCATCTTTTTGATTTTTAGTATTTTTCAAAATCCTAATCTCCCTCATCTTTCGTACTGTATAATTCATATTATATAAACCTTAAGCCTACTTATCAAATTTTGCTTTGATTTTTTCGAGTTAAATAATGTCAGTAGCACAATTTTATACGATCGATTCTTACTGAAATTTCAAGTATTCACTACTCACAAATTTAGGAAATTCAATATTTTATTTCTTCAATAATCAATTTTTATTGAAAATGATCCGTTTTTGTATTCTTCAGATCAAACGCATGTCAAAATAATTGATTTTTTTTTATATGGATTTATAGAAAAGATAAGAGATTAGAACAATTTGAGAATTTTAGAATAGTTTTTTGTTGTTTTTTTTTATTCCTAGGTGGTACTATTGTATCCATATTCAATTTTTTTTTTTTTTTTGAATTACTCATTTGTGGAGAAATATGAAAGCTTCATTTATTTTATCAAATTTAATGATTTAAATGACACACACACAAAAAAAAAAAAAAAGAGTTTTGGGACAAGAAGAGAATATTTTTAAAAAATTTGAGTTTGTTCATTGAAATACTCTATACCAAATCAAGATTTAGATTCAAATTTGAATTATGGTTGAAGATGTTTTTAGTTTTATAAACCCAATTCTCAAATGGGTAGTTTTGGTATTTTAGCTTTAGGCTTGTTTTGTAACATTGAAAAGTTATATTCTTATTTGATATTTAAGCATTTTTAGTGTCTTGTGTATTTAGAGCATTTGCTTCGTATGAAAGCAAGAAAAAGAGAGTCGGCCTTTGCAAAATTTGAATGGGCATTCAATGGCTTTTGGAAACGTCAAGGGGAGGCAGAAGACTCTAGATTCTGCATGCTCACATGGACGCCGAGTTCTGCTTGGAGAAGGAATTGCAATTCTACACTAAAGTCGGTTCTTGCTTGGAGGCGGTTGGCCATGGAGTGACCAGATTCAAGGGCTTTCGGCCGGAAACAGAGGCATATAAAGGGCAAAGAGTTGCTGCCAAAACAGAGAGTTTATGCAGAAAAACAGAGGGAAAATCAGAGAAAAAATCTGTGTTGCTGCAAAAGGAAAGCACATCAGGTGTCACCGGAACAGAAGCTCTGTTTGTGAGTTTTGAAAGTTATTTTTTGTGTTCTTGCTGAAAATTCAGATTAGCTAGAGGTGTTATTTTTTTTTTTGAAGTGAATTGGTGTATTTACTGTAGCAGATTTTTGCCCCTGTTTATGTTTGATTTTTGTTGCAATTTGAGTGATATCTATAGTAGAATTCAACCACTATTGTTTATGAAATTAGGGTCTTGTTCTTGTTGTTCTCGGTGAATTATTGCTACCACACACCTAACACCACTAACTCAACTTCCAACTTCACTTGATCTCTTGGGCAACCCATCAAAAGAGAAGATGGGAAGAGGAATTACATTACAAAAATCAAAGCAGTAGGAGAGATGTCTATCAAACATTGAGTTTGTGTACGTACGTTAGGATCCTTGTAAGTCATTCTGGTACATCTTGTTAAGCGTTGGTAGGACATCTTAAGAGAGAAGATTCCGGTTTCAAAATATCACTGCCTTCGAAAAGCAGGTGGTGGAACAAAACTCGGATCTGCCAAGGGATATTAGATAGAATCTATTGAAAAATTAGCTAAATGGGGTTCAAGAAACAACAAATGTTTCTCCATTCTCTTGCTCCAAGCTCAGCTGACGCTTGCATCAGTAATTGTTATGCCTTGCTCGTCAATTCCCCCCCCCCCCCCCCCCCCC